TGTTCCTGCTTTGTTTCTACCTAGCTCCAGGCCAGGAATGAAATCCAAGGTGTTATTATCAGTGTTATTATCAAGGTGCTATTATCAGTGGCTACCAGCACATCACATATGAGCCAAAGGGCATTACTGATAAAAACTTGAGATTATAAGCTTAGTATTGTTCTTATTAATATCAGCAGCTATAAGACTACTACAAAGTAAAACTGCCATTGGCAACAAAGTAGTCTTGAGTCTGGCACAATGCAGCATGACTTTAACCTCAACAACTGGAAGGAACAGGCAAGAAGGTCTCTTGAGTTCAGGGCCAGGGTGACTTTCATAGGGAGTTCCAGGACATCCAGGGTTACACAGAGACTCTGCCTCAAAAACAAACAAAAAACCAACCAAACAAAAATCAAAAGTGACAAAAAAGGGAAAAAAACAAAAACCTTAAGAATTTCTGAGCTATTTTGAGATTTTGAAAATCCTATCAATCCCAAGCATAACATAAAGATAATACATAATGCTGAGAATAATGCCAAAGCTCATACTGGAAATAACATTTGGCCAAGATTATGTCAAAAAAATTAATAAAATAAAAATTTAATATAAATCTGATGAAAACTTTAACCATACGAAGGTTATCTCCGGCTATGTTCTTATTCACAATAGTTAAAAAAACAAACCAACAAACTTAGTCTTTTAGTTAATGGTGAAAAAATATTTTGAGGTTTTTCTTTTGGTAAGCTATGTTTAATCATGGTTGAACAAAACCAGAATAATCTGACTGGCATGATATTTTCTTTTCTTAAAATGAATTTAAAGACATATTTCCTATTTTCACATGATTTAAACCATTTACAAAAATGCAACAAGGCTGTGTAAATTTATCTCAACCAGCCATCAACAGGATGGGTATTGTAGCTTATATAATCCATTGCTATTATCTACAAAAGCCTATAAATATACTTGGTAAGTAAATACAGAGATAAGCATTGTTGGTTGGTCTGTATAATACATTCATTTAAATTGAGACAATTTCCACTGGTTGAAAAGGAAAGTTACACTGTAGCATTTGGTATAAAAGCAGGAGCACTAATTCAGCTCCTTTAAAAAATGTCAGAACATGTGATTCCTGTTTTTTTTTTTTCATTCCAAATATAACACACTGTATTTAGCACCTCCTGTACTTTCCAGTATATTAGATAATTGCATACCATGTTAAAAACAAAATAAAGGAAAACATTCCTGCCACCCACCTTCTTCATAAAAAACTGAAACTATTAAACACACACATATATGCAAGTGCAACTTGTAAAGGTTAGAATGACTAGTCCAAAGAACACTGCATTTTTTTTTTCTTGAGAGAGAGAGAGAGAGAGAGAGAGAGAGAGAGAGAGAGACAGAGAGAGAGACAGAGAGAGAGAGAGAGGGCGAGCGCGCGCTTTGAAAGATGGCAGCTTGGCTTGGGCAAGAAGAGAGCATATAGCTAAACCATATTATGGAAAGCTATGTAGTTCCTCAGTGGCTGTGATCCCTGCCTCACGTTAATCAGAGAACATCCCCTCCCCACCCTTTTCCCCCGACTTTTGGTCCATTTGTACTGAGCTTCAGAAAAAGACTCTGTTTGAATGAAGATGCCCATGATCTTTAAGTCTGATAATCACTAAGAAGGATTTACTGATAATGGCAATGGCTGATTCTCATGTTAACAGTGTAACATGAGAAAAATAAGAGTAACCAGTAACAGTGAGTATGAGGCATGGCTTTCTAAAGTGGCAAACCAGGTTGAGGATGTAGCTTGGTGGTAGAGTGCTTGCCCAGAATATACAAGGCCCTGGATACAACTCAACTCCTAGCACTATGGAAGGAAAGAAGAAGGGAGTGTGGGACAGAGGGAGGAAGAGAAAAGGGAAGGAGAACGAGAAAGAAGGGAAGGTGGAAAGAAGGAAGGAAAATGGCAACACAAGAGTAAAATCTAAGAGGGTAATGGAGATTAGTATGGTCAAAGTACATTATGTTTATGTATGAAAATATCAACATCATGCAATTCATTATTCTGTACAGTTAATATATACTAGTAAAAAACTTAAAAGAGAAAAATTTATGAATCAGGCAGACTGATGCACACAACAGCTCTACCTTCATGAATACATTTGTTCTTTTGCTTCTGGTCAGTCGTGCAAGGCTACTGTTTGCAAAAGAGTCTGAAGTCAAGGTTTCCAATAGCTTGGGCTAGCAGTCAGACAGAAAATTTTTTCAAAAATTTTACACACACACACACACACACACACACACACACACACACACACACACA